GGCTCACTGCAACCTCTGCCTCCTAGGTTCAAGTAATTTTCCTGCCTCAGCCTCCTGAGTAGCTGGGACTACAGGCTTACGCCACCATGCCCAGCTAATTTTTTATATTTTCAGTAGAGATGGAGTTTCACCATGTTAGCCAGAATGGTCTCGATCTCCTGACCTCATGATCCACCAGCCTTGGCCTCCCAAAGTGCTGGGATTACAGATGTAAGCCACCACGCCTGGCCAGAATCTTTATAATATTCTAGTCTTAAGCAATTCTTTAAGTTAAAAACAAGAATCATCTTGGCTGGGCACAGTGGCTCACCCCTGTAATCCCCACACTTTGGGAGGCCAAGGCAGGCAGATCACCTGAGGTTGGGAGTTTGAGACCAGCCTGACCAACATGGAGAAACTCCATCTCTACTGAAAATACAAAATTAGCCAGGCGTGGTGGTGCATGCCTGCAAACCCAGCTACTCGGGAGGCTGCGGCAGGAGAATCGCTTGAACCCAGGAGGCAGAGCATGTGGTGAGCTGAGATCATGCCACTACACTCCAGCCTGGGCAACAAGAGTGAAACTTCGTCTCAAAAAAAAAAGAAAATAATATTTAAAATACCAAAATTAATATTGCAATTTTATATAAACTTTGTAGTTAAAACAATTATAAATATAAACAAATTGCTGTTCTCTATGTTGTTAAACATTTCTGAAAATTCCAAACAAAAAGCAGCCACATATCCAAGTGCCACGATTTCACAATCACTTAAAACAACTTTAAAAAGGATTTGTTTTCAAACACATCTTTTAAAGAAGATAAAATCTGAGACGGGATTTATTTAGATGGGTAGAATTTGCACAGGTGGACGAGTGGTGAACGTCTTTCAGGCAAATGTCAGAGCAGGAGCACCAGCCAAAAATCAGAAATAACTTGCCCCAGGTGGGGCATTCAAATGGATTTTTAGGTGCAGTCTGTTAATCAATGACTTTGAATGCCAGCTGGAACCCAGATAGGAGCAATACAGTATAGCACTGGAAAAGGAGTAGAGCTTTAAGAAATATAAACATGGCTGGGCCCTATTCCTGAAGATTCTATTTCAAGAAGCCTAGAGTGAGACTCAGGGATCTGTATTTAGAAATCATTCCCAGGTGATTTTGATATCCACCCCTAGTGCAAAACCATATTAATGACATCATACAAGCCTTCTGTCTTCCCAATGAGCTTCTTCTAGTGAGCAAGGGCAACGTAGGGGACCAGCAACACTTGACAAGAGTCACTAATGGAGATGACTAACAATAGGAAATGCTTTAGGTTGTTTAGTGTGGTGATGGCTTGAAGGATGAGAGAGGTAAGCAAGATTAATCTGATAGCAGGTTCAGGAATGAATTCAGAAAGAAGAAAGTGCTGGCAACGCTGGCAGTGAAGACGCATAAGCATACAGTGTGGACAGTCTCAGGATTAAGGCAGCAGGCATGAAGGAGACTAAATAGGAAGAATTCACAGATTTCTGTGATTAAATAAATTTAAAAGTTATAAACAACCAGTTTCCCAATTATTTGAAAAAGACAAAAAAAAACTCAATATTTTTTGAATCATTATTGATGTGTAATAATCAAAGGTGGCTGGGCATGGTGGTTCACACCTGTAATCCCAGCACTTTGGGAGGTTGAAGTGGGCAGATCAGTTGAAGTCAAGAGCTCGAGACCAGCCCGGCCAACATGCTGAAACCTCATCTCTACTAAAAATACAAAAATTAGCTGGATGTAGTGGTGGGCACCTGTAATCCCAGCTGCTTGGGAGGCTGAGGCAGGAGAATCACTTGAACCCGGGAGGCAGAGGTTGCAGTGACTCGAGATCATGCCAATGCATTCCAGACTGGTCAACAGAGCGAGACTCTGTCTCAAAAAATAAAACAAGGCCAGGTGCAGTGGCTCACGCCTATAATCCCAACACTTTGGGAGGCCAAGGTAGGTGGATCACCTGAGGTCAGGCCAGTCTGACAAACATGTTGAAACCCTGCCTCTATTAAAAATATAAAAATTAGCTAGACCTGGTGGTGGGTGCCTGTAATCCCAGCTATTCGGGAGGCTGAAGCAGGAGAATCACTTGAACCTAGCAGGCAGAGGTAGCAGTGAGCCAAGATTGCACCACTGCACTCCAGCGAGACTCTGTCTCAAAAAAAAGAAAGAAAATAAATCAAAGATGTTTGAAAAGTCAGGAGTCCTGTGTGCCTGGCCTCCCCCCTTGCCCAAAGCTGAGAGACCACTAGGCACAGTGGCTCATGCCTGTACTCTCAGCACTTTGGGGGGCTGAGGCAGGTGGATCACTTGAAGTCAAGAGTTTGATCCCAGCTTGGCTAACATGGTAAAACCTCATTCTACTAAAAATACAAAAATTAGCCACTTGTGGTGGTGTGAGCCTATAATCCCAGCTACTCAGGAAGCTGAGGCAGGAGAATAGCTTGAACCTGGGAGGCAGAGGTTGCAGTGAGGTGAGATTGTGCCACTGCACTCCAGCCTGTGTGACAGAGCAAGACTTCGTCTCAAAAAAGAGAGAGAGAGATAGAGAGACCTACCTTATCCAAAACCACATCACTCCTCCTGAGTTCTAGGACCTTGGAAAGATACCGACAGAGCTCAGCGTTAGCCTCTCCCTCTGATGGAGGTGCTGCAATAGCTACATTTACAGCTTCTGCTGTCAAATCTGGAATGAAAACAGGGTGGACTTTACCCTTAGGAAGTTATTTTTCTTCATGAAGTGAGGACATTTTGTAAAAGAGTTTGCATTTGCCTGACACATAGATTTTCAATTAATAACTGTTGAATAAAGAAATGAATGATTAAACTAATCACATTTAAGGGAACATGAACATGATAAAAATGGCCCTACCGTTACAGGAAATAAAACCAGAGAAGAAAACCGATATTTACCCAATCTTGCTGACCAAGATGGGCTTACAGAGCCCTGGGGAGTATCCTGCAACCGGAAATTGCCCTTGGTATATTAAGAGCCCCAGGCATGGAGTCAGAGATGGCCTTCAGCCTCATCAATGTCACTAAGGAAGTCCAGGGACAGCGTAGCTTATTAGATTGTACAGGGTTGTGCAGAGTTTCCTCATCAGGAAAATCAGAGCCCTAGACTAAGTTCACCTCTTATGTGACATGTATCTTGACTGTTCTAAAAATTTAATAATGTTTACTTAACAAATATTTACATAGCACTTACTATACACTAATTTTAAGCACACACAAACGTGTTAAAGGCTTTACAAATATTAACTTCTTTAATCCTTATAAAGACTTCATGAAGATATTAGTACCATTATGATCTCCATTTTACAAATGAGCCACGGCACCCAGACTCCCATTTTAGATCTAATGAAACATAATACTCCAACAGTAGACAGTGTCCACACCCACTACTTAGAAAATGCTGGCCAAGGAGAACATGGCCAAGTCAAACTGGTCATCAACATAAACCAGGCCTAGTATACCAATTTTGTGGTTTTCCTTTCAAAATCTAAACACAATGTGGAATACGGAGCTTTAGAGGTGAAAAAGACCTTCAAAATAATTCAGAGCATGGTTTTCGAACTTTTTTCTCCTTTAGAATCCCTTTCCCCCAATTTTCTCTAGAATCCCAATATTTAAAACAAACATAAACACAGCTAGTCAGAGTCCTGTGTGCCTGGCCTCCCCTTTGCCCGAAGCTGATTCCCGAGGCACCTCCAGCACTCCAGAGAATAGCTTGAAAGCCCCTAACTTAGTCCAGCGATCTCATCTGACAGATGAAAAAACTGGGCCCATGAATGTTTTATACCGTTTTACTTAAAACAAGTTCACACAGGAACTGATCACTGGTCTCAGATCGAAAGTTTCCTCCCTCTCCTTAGGCCACGATCATTAAACTACACTAAAATGTGTCTTCTTTCTCTGGCCAATGTCTCCAGTTTTGGAACAAGACAAACTAAAAATCGAGGCTACGCACAGGTTTCCGTTATCTGTCCTTTCTAAAATACCATATTTTAAAAAAGAAAATTATACAATGGTTTTGTGTAAGTTGGCATGATTTAAAGATATATTCACTTTCAGGCACCTTTACATTAGAATCTAGAATTTTAAAATGGAGAAGCTGCTAACTGCAGATGTGACAAATCAATGGTCACAGGATAAGCCTTCAGTTAGCCAAGGCAAAGGGAGGCTGGAAAAGACATGTGATTCACACTTAAATCCCACCCCAGTGTCCAGGCATACCTGTTACAGCATTTTGTTTGGAGCCAGGTTTGGCATGGATGGCTATGGTGACACAACCTTTAGGATCAACTGCCACAGGACCTAAGGGAGGAAGAGGTCTCTCTGGTTCTTTGCTCTGGCTTTTACCCTAAAATGACAACCACACAACTTTACAGGTTACAAAATATTTTCCCACACACTTAATTTGATCCTTCCACTGACCCCTTTCACCCTTAACAGACAAAGTGGGCTAATCAGTGGTGTCCAGGGACTTCTGGCCACCTAGGAGGACGCTTTTCCCACGAACTTCATTAATCAATTCTCCCATGAAGCATTCCCATCAACCCAACAGTGTTTTTTCCTCCCTTGCAAGAAAATCTAACTCTGGCTTCTAAACCTTAATGTTTGTTCCTCCCTAGGGAACAATTCCTCCTGGGCAGGGACCATTTATTATTTATCATTGTATCTCATGCAGTCAGAGCTAATAAATGTTGGTGAAAGTGTATATGTGTGCGTGTTGGGGAAAAGGGAGAAAAAAAAACCAGTAGGGCTTCATATTTAAAGGCCTGTTATGGGACAGGGGCTGTGCTAGGAACTTTCATTCAACAAATATGTAGGCAATGGATAAGTAAAGATATAAGGACATAAGGTCCTTGCTCTCAAGCAGCTCGGACAGCTGCGAGGGAGAAAGAACATACAAAATCATAATAACACTGTGCTAAGTGCACCCATGAGATACACACGGGGCATTACCGCACGGGCAGCTCGGCACTGGGGCACTGGAGGATCCTGCCAGCAGTGGCAGGAGGCAGTGCTTGAGCTGAGTCTGAGAAACGGACTGCGGTTGGCCAGGAAAGACGGTGGAAATGGGAGTGGTGTATTCTTGACAGAAGGGCTGCGATCAGCCCAGGTAAGGGAGGAGGACGCAGAATAGGGCCTCCCGGGGATGCGCAGGCGTCACGCCGCTGCTGGAACGTGAATTGCTGGCCTGGGAGTGCAGGGAGGCCAGAGAGGTCAGCACAAGCAGCCCAGGGAGAGCTCGGCTGCCGCCGGGCCCAGCACTCCGTCACCGGGTGGACGGCGGCGCAGCCTACTAGGGCGGGGCGACTGCAGCAGGAGCCGCAGCTCTGGGGGTGGCAGTGGCTGTCCTGGGCCCCGGAACTGAGAGAAGGCAAACTGCCGGCGGTACCTCCACCCCCGGGCCCCGCTTCTCCCGCGCTCTTAAGGAGCCCTGCGGCCCACCCCTCTGCTGCCAGGGGACCTGCCACTGGCCTTGGTCGTCGCACCAGCCTTCTTAGGCATCTCGGCGTCAAGAGGAAGCCGAGCTGAACCCCAGGTACTGGGTTCTGCCACGACCTGCCTCAGCCCTCTGCAGAGCCGCAGCATCCCTGTCTGGGGAGGCGCCGGAAGAGCCCTCTGCACTTGCGCAGGTAGCGGGCAGGAGCGGCCCCAGCGCCCCGCGCATCCGCTTTTCCCGAGGGCGACACCTTACGGCCGGCGGGAGCGAGCCACTTTTGTTCTGGAAAGGGCCCCAGGAGGTGGAGCTGGGGAGCTGGGGCCTCGCCATGTCATGGCCCACCCTCCTCAGCTGATGGGAAGATGTGTCACTTCTGATCTCTTTCCTAATCGGGGAAAGAAAGGTATTGTCACTTCGCAGAATTGGAGAGCGCGGTAAGGAGTGCACAGGGCCAGGTGTCTTCTCGCTCCTGCAGCCAAGCAGCAGGTGCAAAGCCCCACGCTGCTGCCTGTGGCCAGCAAGTCTATATAGAGCCTCGTGCCCTTGTGAATCTTCCACGTCTCGATGGCGCACTTACCTCGTGCCAGGCGCAGCGGATCCCACAATGTAAAAGAGGAAATGCACTGCGACATGTGATATGGCGAGGCATGAAACAAATCAGCAGAAGCAAGATCATGGAGTCACTGAAGGCTTTGAAGCAAGGGATTGGGAGTCCAATTTGTTGTGTTTTAGAAAGACACCAGCTGCACTGTGGCTGACAGAGGAAAAGGCAGCGATAGGGAGATCCGCCCCCCTAAATGGGAGACGGTGACCTGAACTAAGCAGCGAGGATGCAGCCCTGATCATTTCAACGATCTTCAGAAACTGGAATGATCAGAACTTGAGAATGACTGGATGTGCGAATAAGAGCGAAGAGTCAAGGAAATGCCCAGGTTTGGGACCCAAGGAACAGGTTTGGGAGTCCGAGGAGAGGAGTTCAACTTTGGACATAATGAGTTTGAGATGACCACCGGACATCCAAGTACAAATATTAAAGGGGTAACTACATATATGTAACTGAAGTTTGCAAAATCAAGGCTGGCAATAGAGATTCTGGAATCTTCTGAAAAATAGATGGCAATTGAAGCAATGGAAATGGATGAGAGAAAGGCTGAGAAAGTGTGTGCGGAGCACGAGGGCCAGGATAGAGCAGCAAGAGCAGGTAGAGATGTCAACAAAGGACGTTGTCCAGGTAGCAGTACGGTGTAATGGCAGCTAAGGAAGGGTGCTTCGAGAGGGAATATCAACAGTGACGAATGCTCCAGAGAGAACGTGTCACATGTAATGACTGAGAAGTGACCGCAAGACTTAGAAATCAGGGTGGTGTTGGTGACCCAGGCTGGAGCAGTTTCAGTGGAGAGAAGGAAATGGAGATAAGTGTAGAGAATAATCCAGTGACTTCACTGTGAAGGAGCAATTGCTATCTGGAGGGGCACATGCCATTCAGAGACTTATTTTTACCATATTAGAAGGTTGGTAGAAAAGAGCCAGGAGAGGAGAGGTTACAGCAGAGGGCAGTTCCTGAAGAGATGGGATCCGAGCTCAAGTAGAGACCGACTGCACTACAGGAGACTGTAGACACTCCTCCCTTCCTAACGGAGAGCTTAAGTGGACATGTAGGTGCGTTTATAGGTTTGCTGATGGGAGCTGGGATTTCTTTCGTAACTAAGGCTGGAGGAGGTGTTGAACGTGTGAGCAAAGTGGAACAGCTTTACATTGGGACTCTGGAGAATGGCAAAGGGCTGACTCTTGGAACTCATTCTACAGTACTGACAGTTAAAGGAGACCATGAAATCATCATGATCCCAATCTATAGTTACATTATTTATTTCTGAGACAGAGTCAGTGGGATGGGAAGAGCCTGTCACCCAGGCTGGAGCGCAGTAGTGGGATCTCTGCTCATTGCAACCTCTGCCTCCCGGGTTCAAGCAATTCTCCCTGCCTCAGCCTCCAGAGTAGCTGGGATTACAGGTGCATGCCATCACACCCATATTATTTATTTTTTGTATTTTTAGCAGAGACGGGGTTCCACCATGTTGCCCAGGCTGGTCTCAAACTCCTGAGCTCTGGCAATCCGCTCACTTCCCCAAAGTGTTAGAATTACAGGCATGAGCCAGCACCTGGCCTATAGTTTCATTCTTTTAAATGCCTGGATTCACCAGCTAGAAGTTTTTTTTTTGTTTTGTTTTGTTTTGTTTTTTGAGACGGCGTTTCACTCTTGTTACCCAGGCTGGAGTGCAATGGCGCGATCTCGGCTCACCGCAACCTCCGCCTCCTTGGTTCAGGCAATTCTCCTGCCTCAACCTCCTGAGTAGCTGGGATTACAGGTACGTGCCACCATGCCCAGCTAATTTTTTGTATTTTTAGTAGAGATGGGGTTTCACCATGTTGACCAGGTTGGTCTCGATCTCTTGACCTCGTGATCCACCTGCCTCGGCCTCCCAAAGTGCTGGGATTACAGGCTTGAGCCACCGCGCCTGGCTGTTTTTTGTTTTTTAAATTTAAATTTCTTTTTTGGCCCCAGTGCTACTACCAAAGCAGTCAGAACCAGATTCATTCAGGTATATACAAGTGGGTTGAGGGTCATTGATGAAATGGTTAAAGTGATTAAAGACCAAAGATAGAGAGGGGTTGAGGGAGATCAAAGATAGAGCCTAAGTGGGTAGAGAAGGAAGAACAGAACAGAGGTCAAGAGTAACTGGAATGTGAGTGACAGCTTGAACAAATAATAAAGGTTGTGGCCAGAGAGTGGGATGTCTGAATTTACTATTTCAGATGTACAGCAATTCCACATCATGATAGGCTATACAGTGTGGCCATGAGAAGGAATAGTGAAGGTTGCTGGAGGTAAAGAAGAAACTGGAAACCTAAGTGTAGCTGGGTTGTCCACATGGCCACTGAGGCCACACAGTATAAAGGCTTGAGCAGAAGCAATCGAGCTAGGTGTTAAACCAAAACCATATTTCCCTTCTTTGAAATCAGTGAAGAATTAAGGCACAAAAGCTGAACCAGCATTCTATAGAAGTCATTTGTAGAATCTGCTGTAAAGTCACATCAGCCTCAGAGGTTTGGCAGTTGTCATGGAAATAAAAGGGACATTTGTAAAGGTATTATGATGGCATCTGGCCAGTGGCTAGATGGGTGAGGAAAGAGTGGAGAGGTGCCCTGCAGCGAACCACGTGGCCTTTCCCACACGTGACTCGGAAGTAGGGGGTATGAGGACTTCATTGCGCCAATGGGGAGGAGAAAAGCCGTCTGCCCCATGTGCCACCAAACTGTGCACCTGTTTCTCCTGCCCACATCCCTGTCTTTGGAAGAGAGAGGCAGAGTGTGAAGACATACTGCCTAACAGTGAGGGAAAACACAGAGGCTAAGATTCAAATGGCAGGAAACCCCTTGTAAATGTTTGTGGTGGTTCGCATATTATTTTCTTTGAGACAGGATCTCACTATGTTGCTCAGGCTGGTCTCAAGCTCTTGGATTCAAGCAATGCTCCTGCCTCAGCTTCCTCAGCAGCTGTATAACTACAGGCCTCATTTTATCTTCAGTTTTAAATAGAGTTCCATTTAAAAACCTGCAATGGAGAAACAGGAAAAGGGATTTTTAAAAGCATACAAACTAGGTGTATGTGAATAAATACATGGTGTAGCTCTGGCTGGCTGTTGGGGCTGGGACTGCGATGGTACCACCCTTCTTGTGAAGGATGTGTTTTTTCTAATTTGGGGACAATTCCAGGTCTTGAATCTGGATGACTAGAAGAAGGAAGTAGAAAGTGGTTTGAAGAAGTACTAAAAAGTGGGACATTATTTTAAACACATTACATGTAACATAACACATTGAAGACCTTGCTTTCTCTAATATCTTACAAGCTTATCTATTCCCAGGTTAAAAATAATTTTAAAAACACTCTGATAATGCAAGTAATCTCAATTTGTTGGGCAGATACTGGAGTTCTTAAAATATAAAGTATATTCTACAGTAAATACAGATTAGTCAAACATATTTTTGGGTCTTACTGCAGAGTTTGAGAATGGTGACATAAATAGTATTTTTGGACCCAGCAAAATATTTTCTCAACTCTGTAGTGTGGGAGATGTAAATGGGCTTAAATTCCACTTCCCACCACTTACTGAACTTTTTTTTCCCCTCCCCAAGACAGGGTTTTGCTTTATCGCCCAGGCTGGAGTGCAGTGGTGCTACCAAAACTCACTGTAATCTTGGACCCCTGGGCTCAAGCAATCCTCCCCTCAACCTCCCAAGCAGCTACAACTATAGGCACGTGCCACCACAACCTAGCTAATTTTCTTGTTTTTCAGAGACAGGGTCTCACTATGTTGCCCAGGCTGGTCTTGAACTCCTGGCCTCAAGTGATCCTTCTGTCTCAGCCTCTCAAAGTGCTGGAATTACAGGTGTGAGCCACCGTGCCCAGCCTAGCTGACTTTTTCTTTGCCCATGAAATGGGTATTGTAATGGTACTTACCTCATATCAATGCTGTGAGAAACTAGTAAGAATGTCGTAAGGTAGGCTGGGTGCGGTGGCTCACGCCTGTAATCCCAACACTTCGGAAGGCCTAGATAGGCAGATCACAAGGTCAGGAGATTGAGACCATCCTGGCCAACACAGTGAAACCCCGTCTCTACTAAAATACAAAAAATAAAATAAAATAGCTGGGTGTGGTAGTGCACACCTGTAGACAGAGCTACTTATGAGGCGGAGACAGGAGAATCGCTTGAACCTGGGAGGTGGAGACTGCAGTCAGCAGAGATCATGCCACTGCACTCTAGCCTGGCAACAGAGCAAGACGCTGTCTCAAAAAAAAAAAAAAAAAAAAAATGTAGTAAAGAGCCTGGTACAAAATAGTCACTTGGGTAGTTACTACTAATAAACAGCTGTGAGATGACAGTCACAATCTAACAGTAAGATTATTTCTTGGATTCTCCCACATTCTTCATTCTCCACCTCCTGAGATTAGAACAGGGGGGAAAAAACCTGAGACCACAAAAAGAAGTGATCAAGAAACAAATGGCAGCAGTGGTTATCACTGCAGTTCCTATGAACTGCTTTAAGTCGGCAGTGAAGCATTTTTATTTTGAATTGCATTACTCCCATAAAGTTAAACCTCAAGTAACTAGAACCTTTGTTCCAAAATGGTGTTTACAGTCGGGCGCTGTGGCTCATGCCTGTAATCCCAGCACTCTGGGGAGGCTGAGGCAGGTGGATCGCCTGAGGTCAGGAGTTTGAGACCAGTCTGGCCAACATGGTGAAACCCTGTCTCTACTAAAAATACAAAATTTAGCTGAACGTGGTGGTAAGCGCCTATAATCCCAGGTGCTCCAGAAGCTGAGGCAGGAGAACTGCCTGAACTCAGGAGATGGAGGATGCAGTCAGCTGAGATGGTACCACTGTCCTCCAGCCTGGGCAACAGAGTGAGACTCCGTCTCGGAAAACAAAAACAAAAAACCAAAATGGTGTTTATATTCACTTTTAGAAGAAAAAGACAAATGACAAAAAAAGGGTAATACATATATATTTATTTTTTAAAAATTCCAGGGGATGTCCCAGTTAGTAAACAGTTCTGTTTCTTGTCCCTTCTATGGCTACATGCAGTTTCAATTGTTCAGTACAACAGATGAGGCATTTGAAAGGCATCCAACATCAAGAAACACTAACTCATCTCCGGCATATCATACTTTTTAAGGCAGAAGTATTTTCTGTAATGTTACTACAATGTTTACTGGTTAATTTTTAGTTAACCAGAACCACATATCCCATAGATATTCCATTTAACTGAGGTTTATAGCCATAAAAGCATGACCATAGAAAAATTTCCCTTTAGCAATTTCAAGAGACCTCAGCCATAAAAGCATGACCATAGAAAAATTTCCCTTTAGCAATTTCAAGAGACCTCAGCCACCAATATACCTCACTACCTTCTTGACAATATAAAGTGAAATATTAGATGAAAATTTTTTGTTGTTGTTTTGTTTTGTTTTTTGAGACGGAGTTTCACTCATGTTGCCCAGGCTGGAGTGCAATGGCGCGATCTCGGCTCACCGCAGCCTCCGCCTCCTGGGTTCAGGCAATTCTCCTGCCTCAGCCTCCTGAGTAGCTGGGATTACAGGCACGCGCCACCATGCCCAGCTAATTTTTTGTATTTTTAGTANCTCAGCCTCCTGAGTAGCTGGGATTACAGGCACGCGCCACCATGCCCAGCTAATTTTTTGTATTTTTAGTAGAGACGGGGTTTCACCATGTTGACCAGGATGGTCTCGATCCCTTGACCTCGTGATCTACCCGCCTCAGCCTCCCAAAGTGCTGGGATTACAGGCTTGAGCCACCGCGCCTGGCCTGAAAATTTTTAATATCCTAATTATTTAGAAAAAATTATCTAAGTGATACTTAAAAGAATTTTGATTTTTAATCACCTTCCACAACAATTTGATATACCTTAATTACACTTACATTGTAAGAGAATCACTTTCAAGGGGAAAAAAATGAATGTTACTTATATTTAAAAATCTGCTTTATAAAAAAGTGTATAAATGTCAATCTACCAGATATACTTCCTATCCCCAACACAGCTGTAATAGTGACTAATGGGGTCATGACCATGAAGCAAATTTTACCTCCCAGATAGAATAATGTGTAGGTGGCAGAAAGCGTATTTTTCAGCAGGAGTGATTCTGTTGGATCTCTTTACAATGTCAGAGCAGTTGTTAGAAATGTTAGTATTTTATTTGGTTTCTTGCTGTACAGGATTATCACAATGTTGATGTGATGTCTGTTCACCCAGTCGTCATCATCATCATCTCAATCTTGGGAATATCAACAGCATCTTCCACATAGCAAGACAGGTATAGTGGTGCAGTTTAGTGACAGAATCCAGTCTTAGATCCTGTTTACATCACATTATTGTGAATTTACACAAATTCCATTTATAGCTTTAAAACTGTACTACATAACACATTACTATACTACTACAAAATATTCTTTTCTGTAAGTGCACTGAAAATTTTCTTGGGCATTTTATTAGGCCTCTTTTAGCACTATTCCAAATGCTAACAACCAGATATTTTAAACCCCCAAATACAAAGTCAGCTTCTTACTTTTCTGAAATTAGTTATTTAATAGGAATTCTGCAGAAATACTGACTCATCTCTTTTCATTCAACCTTCAAAATAGGTAAGCCTATTTGCCCATCTCACCTAACCTTCAAAATAGTTACAACAAAAATGAACCCAAACTAGCTATATATAACAAGAATCTTTCAATTCCAAAACTACTGAAAAGACCCTAAGTCAGCCAACCTATGAAATTATACAAGATGAAACTGAAATAGCTGTGCTTTTTTTTAAACCATTAAACCCAGTTCTTTTCCCATAAGGTTATAAGAAAATGGAAAACCTGTTTTTAAATCATGCAAAGATTTAAACATTTTTCTATCTCCTCTAAGAAACTGTTTCTTATCTTACAATTATAAATATTCACAACACTCAAACTACTTTTTTGTGGCCAGTTACTTATGTTTTTGACACTAGATTGTAGGGTACTATTTAGCCAAGATGTATTACAATGCTAAATTATGTATAAAATATTATTTCTGGAATTTGTCCATCTTCTATTGAAGTGCCATTATTATTGCCAGGAGAACTAAAAAAGAAAAAAACAGTCTTGCTAGCAGCAGGTGTCTCATGCACTACTTTCTTCAATCCTTTTGTGCCATAGTGGGAATCTGGACCCTAAATGAGAATAAAAGGTTCCTTAGTAATTTTCATTTAATAAGCACTCAATGTATTGTGGTGTTTTAATTAATGTTCTATTATATTTCATTATCATTCCTATATAAAATTTTATGCTGTCATTTAGAGAAAAATGAAGTTTTTACCAAAAAACTAATTAATGAATAAAAATACTGAACACAGAGCCCAGATATTAGAAAACAGTGAAAAGATTTTTACAAAAATAACTTATTTTCTGCCAAACATTCAACTGCTTACTAAAACAAAAGGCTACTTCTTAGGAAGAGCTATTTCTTTCAGAACAGAAAGAAGCACTTCTCTTCTTAAGGCAGTGGAATATTTCAGCTCCCAGTTTCTTTTCTCCCCTCTTTATAAATGGCTCAGCTGTCCATGACTCTCAGCTAAAACACGCTTTCTGCAACATTCAAGAGGAACCATCTGGAACATCGTGCATGACTCTTACTTTGAGTGTTGCGCATGCCGTGTAGCACACATTGGGCAGGATCTCTATGGGTTCCTTAAACATGACCCTGAATGTGTTAGCCGTCCCATCACAACTAAAGCCGGTATCATTTTGTCCCAGGGTTTGTTTTTTTTCATATTCAATGATCTGTAATTTTTAAGAGACAAGTTACATTTAAGTTAAACCCAATGAAGCAAACTATAGAAAATATGAAGCCCTTAGGAATCTATGTTTTTT